CCGGCCTAACCGTCCAGAAGGAGGTAAAGGTGGCCAAAGAGGACCAAAACGAGAACACGGTTTACAAACTACAGGACCTGTTCTTCGACGAAGTGATGTTCGAGTACTGCAAACACCCGAATGTCTTGCCATACGTGGAGGCCTTCTGCGGACCCAATCTGATGGCCATTCACACGATGCTAATCAACAAACCGCCCGATTCTGGCACCAAATCCTCGCGGCATCCGCTCCATCAGGACTTGCATTACTTCCCCATCAGACCCGTCGACCGTATAGTCGGCGCGTGGACTGCGATGGAGACCATCAATAGGGCTAATGGCTGTCTGGTAGCCATTCCCGGAACACATAAGGGCGAGCACTTGGCGCACGACTACCCGGAATGGGAGGGAGGCGTGAATAAGATGTATTACGGGGTGAAAGAGATGTCCGGACAGGAGAATCGGGTGCATATCGAGATGGAGGCCGGGGATTGCATACTATTCCACCCGTTGCTGATACACGGCTCCGGCACTAACAACACGAAGGGCTTCCGGAAAGCCATATCGTGTCACTACGCGGCCGCTGACTGTCATTACATCGACGTGAAGGGCACTATTCAGGAGAACTTAGCCAATGAGGTGCTCGAAGTGGCCACCAAGAAGTTTAAGCAACCGTTCACTGACTATGCCGTGAGTTATCATTGGATCAATTCGTTTGAGGCTTTGTTTTAATGATTGTTTGGTTTATTTTTATGTATCGAAAACACCTTTAAGGCCAGTGTTGACCACTCCCCTTTCCGATAATTAGATACTTGGGGACCAATACCGTATATTACAATAAAAACTCTAATTAAATGAAAAACTTCTAATAACAGATTACCAATATATAAAGTTTTTTGATTTATGTAATCAATATATTGTAATAAATAATTGCTTTTAACTCCCGATTCAATAATAAATTAATATTTTGTAAATTATTTAATTAATGTCACAATTATTGGTATAGTTTGTTAAGTTGTCTGCCAATCAGCCACCGCCTGATCTCCTGAGTGCCGGCGCCTATCTCACAGGGTTTGGCGTCTCGGAGTAGTCGGCCGGCGCTGTACTCATTGGAGTAGCCGTTCCCACCCATTAACTGTAATGGCGTCGAGGGCTACCTGTGTGGCCGTCTCTGACACTCTTAACACAACTCCGGCGCACTCTTTGACGAAGAGGTCTGTCTTTCCCTTTCCCACCGGAATGCCACCCTTCCGGTGCTTGTAGTCATCCACAGCTCGCGCGGTGTTGTAGAGGTAAGCGCGGGCGGAGGACAGTCGTGTATACATGTCAGCCATCTTGGCCTGAATTATCTGGAAGTGAGCGACTGGTCGTCCAAACTGCCGGCGCTGGTGGGCGTACCGGAAGGCCAGTTCGCACGCGCTCTGCGTAATGCCCAATGGCATGCCCGCCAGCACCAGGCGCTCGTAGTCGAAGCCACTCATGAGGACGTACACCCCCTCGTCTACCTGTCCCACCATATTGGCGACGGGAACCTTGCAGTCGTTGAACAGCAGCTCACCGGTAGGCGACCCTC